TTGCTTCAGGAAGGAGGCGGCCAGTCACACACAAAGCAGCCCCATATGGGGCTCACTCCCCTTATCCTGCATTGTTTGGTGCTCCAGCTAAAGGCTAGATGATTGTAACACCTGGGAGACACCATTCCCCCAAATGGGGGGAGGAGGCTCTTTAAATATGGAGGAAACTAGAAAGATACAACATATAAAAGGCACTTAAATAGATTCAGCAATGTTTCCCTCACAGTGTAATTGTAGTTGCCACCTGGGAATCATATTTTAAAGACAGATCCCCAGCTAATGTGAATTGGCATATCTCCATAGGAGTCCATGGGGCCAGAGCCCCAGCTGGTGTACACTAACCCTGGATACGTTGGCTCTACACTGATTCCCATCAGCTGAGAATCTAGCCCAGGGTGCTTTTCAACATTCACCCATTTTGCAGGGATTTATCAGTGGGGATATGAAAAAAGCACTTATGAAAACTAAGCACCACCAGTAAAAAGGTACAAAGGAGCAGAGATTAATAAAAACAAGCTGAGCTGATCATTTAGACTAAAATCCCCAGAGAACTGCTCTGAGGCTGGAGACAGTTTAACCAGCATCTGCAAAGCATTCAGTCTCAGCCTGCAGACAGGGTGTGACCAGGAGGCATCATTTCTGGGGGGAAGGAGGGGAGGCTGTGATGGGAAGGTCCCTTTTAACTTTATACCAAGCAGGACCATCACTGGGAGCAATGGGGATCATCTCTCCCATGGGTCTGGGGTCCCAGCTCTTTTTTGTATATAAGGTCTGTCTTCCCTGTCTGGAATGTCCTGGGCAGGCTGGGGGTCTTTGAAGTGGTAGGGTCCCTTGGGGAGATACTAACCTCTCCCATCTGCAGCCTGGGCTCTGATATCTTGCAAGGAATGTGGATTCCACCCACAACAACAAAGAGTTACTGCAGCGAGTGCAATTCCGGTCCTGCTGCCAAGACTGCATGACCCCAGCAATCGCTCTGACCTCTCCACCCTCGCCTGCTTGGGGAGGGTCCTGGTGATAAACCAATTGCTTGCAGCGTAAGTTGCCTTAGTCCAGGAGCAGGATTCCTGGTCATACATCCCAAGCAGAGATTGGCATCTCCCAGCTGCCCAGACTTTGGTACCTAACTCTGTCAGAGGGACTGATTTAGGGTAGAACTCTCTCATTGGCATGTCCCACTGGCCAGCTTAGGTGACTTCCCACCTAGTGTACAGACTTTTGTGGCTCCTATCCTAAGGTGCCTATCTTTTCCCATGCATTGCATAGGGAGCCCAGATGTTTGAAATGTCTGAATTGATCAGTTGCAGCATTCAAAGTCATTGCATTACATGCAAACAAACACCATGGAGTTGAGTGTCAGGTCTCATTTTGCTTGGCCCAACATAAATAAAAAATAATATCTAATGCTTGGATAGAACTTTTCATCAGTAGACCTCCAAGTCCTTTACAAAACAGGCCATGATCATTCTGGTTGCTACTCCTGACCACTTTCTTAGGCTAGAAAAACAACCTCCTGCTAAGATTGAATTTCTAGGCCTCCCAAAAAAGGCCCTGTGGAAATTAGTCCTTCTCAGTGTTGCCTTCTGAACATAGAGGTGGCAGGGAAAAGGGGCAGAGGAGGTGAATGACAGAGGGCAGAACCTCCCTAACCCTGCACACTCCCTCTCTTCTCATTCCATGATGACCAATATCTTGATCACCTGAGCTCCATTTGATTCCCTTCTCCACCAGCCCAAAACATTAAATCCCCCAGATCCCTGGCAAAACCCCCTCCCGGTCACTTGACATCTGATTCCCAGCACCCTAGGACACTTATCTGGAACTGTTCCCTGCAGGATAAGCGTGGGAGCTAAGCTGAGCTGAGCCCAGAGACTGGTGGAAGATGCAGGATGGGGACAAGTGTGTGGAGTGAAGGTGGGGCCTGGCCCAAGTATACTTCTCCTAATCTTGGATGGGACGGTTGGAGGGGGGAACTTCAGAGGGAGCTTCTGAAGGAGTTTCTCTCTCCCTTCCCCCAGCAGGTTAGCAGGAGGCAAGAAGGTCCATCAGTTCAGCACCCAGGGCTGCAGCAGAGAGGAGGGGCTGATCGGAACTTCTCCTCCTCTGCCTGGGGTTTGCTTAGAGCAGGCAAAGCCAGATGGTCCCTGATCCCCTCAGGGTCAGCTGCTGCTGGAACCTGCCCCCAGAGATGGGCAGCTAGATACTTGGGAGCCAAATGCCACCACTGTGTATGGGAATTAGGAAATGGAGATGTATATACTGTGACGGGTTGGATCACAGAAACCCCCTTGGGAGCTGCCACCCAATGTGCAAAGACTACCCCTGCTTCTGTTTTCCCTGCCAGCTCAGGACTCCAGCACCCTGTCTTGCTGAGCCAG